CCACGACTTAGAATTTACTATTAAGAAAGCAAATAATTTGTAAGGCACGAAAAGAAAAATTCGAATGAAATGAAATAATAAAGATAATTGAAAAGTACGTACGTTCTGTCATTGGTGTTAACAAATAAAGGCGCGTAGCTCGCCATTTCAACAACATCACTGTCCAAGAGCGAAAAAATGCAAAAGTAATGGAAAAGTGTATGAAGTTAAACATAAACATAAAAATTATAGTTCTTGGTATAAAGATATTGCAAAATCATAGGCATTTGGGAAAGAAATAAAGGGAAATGGGAAAGAACAGAATGTATGCAAATATTGACCGTTCAGGGCAACTCGACAAAAGATACTTTCAAAGCATATTATTATGGGCAATATACGATTGATTTTTCGATAATTCCTAATATTTTTTCAGAAATAAAACACATGTAGCATATATTTTTTCAGAAATAAAAAAATTTTCCTATCAAAATTAAATTGCAACATACCAATTTTTTTCTAGACCAATAAGAAAACCAGCTTCAGCTAGAGCCGCCAAAAGACTACCCTTTCCTGCATCATTCCCAGTTACGGCGTATTCACTCACAAATGCCTGCACAATTCGAACGAACCATTTCGTGAAAATAATTAAATCTTCACCTAATTAACTCTTAATTCTTTTTAAGTGAACATAATAAGCAAACCTTTGGACCATTTCGTGACGCTCGGTCAAATTTCTGGGCCGAAGCAAAGACATTATTTGCGCTGCTATAAATCTAGCAGCAAGGGAACATGTGATAAAAACCAAAATATATGTATATATATATATATATATATATTATATTCAATGCTTGTATAAGGGTGAATTTTTCTTACATGATAATCGTACAAATCAGCTGGATGATCCAATGGCTGGGAGGAGCCATCACAGTTTGATATTACTTTGATGTCCGGATATGCATTTTTAATGGCCGCATAGAACTTGAGGTAATTTCCTTCATCATCACGAAAAAAACCTCTCAAATACCGATAAAAAAATGATTATGCATTAAAGGACGAATTCTTGATAAATTTTATCAGTGAAATGAAATCAAGGCCACTACACATATAAACAATAATTTGCATAAGTGACTAAACGAACGAGCTTAGACAGGTGAATACTTCAGTTTCAAATAAGTAAGCAATTATCTTAGAATTTAGCCATGGATTAAAAAATCTCATCAAATTTTCCTATTTTACATATAAGTGCATTTCAATTGTTATACCTCGGTAATTTCTCTTTCCACAGTCCTCATTTCCAACCGCAACATATTTCAGATCAAAGGGTTCTGGATGGCCCAATGCAGCTCGAACAGAACCCCATTTTGACTTAGAATCCCCTCTGGCAAACTCAATACCGTCCAGAATTTCCTGCAGTTAATAAATTGTAAAAGGTCAAAACTAATAAAATGACCAAAAGTTCGTAGTAGAAAAATTGATGAATAAAAGAGCTTCCATTTATTGTCGAATTAGATTGAACTTTGCATGAATATTTCAACTGCATACAGATTATTTTAACATTAAAATAAATAAAAGGAATTTACTTGTAAAAACGGTGCAATGCTGGATGTGTCGACTTGATCATTGTGGCTGATACCTGAATTAATTACATTACAGATATTGTAAAGGTCAATAAGCAGTTCTTTAAAAAAAAAAAAAAGTGTTATTCTCAGAAATAATAATAATAATAAGGTAAAATAAATTAGAAAGTACCATTGTTGAATACCCAGATTGGTGCAGCGCCTAAATCCTCAGCAAGCTGCAGAAAAAAAAGTGATTTAAAAAAGGGACAAAGAACAATGAATTAGCAAAAAATTATGAAACATATTACTGATGACCAAATAAAACAAAGGAAAAAATAAGAATAGTTATTTTCGGTAAAATTATACCTGAAGAAATTCCAAATGACCAAATCCATCATCAGTCCAATAATGCCAAACATCACCAAAATGGCCCGGCCTTTCCTCCCATGGCCCAATAGTTTCTTTCCATCTGAATGCATTCCTTAACCATTCACCTTCAACAAAGCAACCACCTGACAAACAATCATGGATTTCAAGCACATTAAACTTCCAATATAACTCCCGTAGAAAGTTAAACTGAATCATATATAAACCAGTATAGTATAGTCTCACTGGCCAACAAACATCAAGATCAATCGAGGAGTATTTCACTATTTCGACATACTGTACGAGTAAAAAGAGATCATTCATCATCATTCTTGAAGAGCTATAAAATCCATGACTCGTGCATGAGCTTTTATTCATTCATTCCTTTTTTCTTTTCTTTTTTTACTGTAAAGGGGATCTTTGACATTAGTCTCACACTTTTAGTACAAATGTATATAGAGCTTGGTATAATATCATATTACGTAGTCTGCAAGTTGAAAATGAAAAAGTAAGTAATGGCGAAGCTAATATTTTTGCAAGTCGTACCTGGAAATCTAATAAATGCTGGGTTTAAATCTTTCAACATCTTGAAAAGATCTTGGCGGAAACCGTGCCCCTGTTGGTAAGAGGAACAGTATTTGATCATAGCTTAAGGTGAAGACGTAATGTCATTGCTAATAAAAAGCAGCAGTATGATAAAATTTGCCCATTTTAGATTTTCACTTCAGTTTCGAATGAAGGATAGTCATGAGGAATATTCTCAAAACGATACTGTTTGGAGCAACATAGTATATTCACGAAATTTATAAAAACCGAGTAAAAATTATTAAAAATTTAGACAAATCTTTTACCTTGTATGTGTCTGTGGGCATCAGAGATATTTGATCAAACCATATAACACCTTTCTTGGTGGTTGTCAGTTGAAGCCTTGCTTTTGGATCAGTTCCTTTTGCTTGTAAAGTAAGCTCAAACTTAGTCCAATTCGAAACATCAGAAGCCCTGCAAGCAAAATACTTGAGACACAAATGGAAAACAAGAAAACTTGCAGAACAAACCTAATTTATGAAGAAAAACAATCCTTACAAAATGTTAGCTGTAGCCAGTGTCAATCCACTCGATCCAGTTAATGACACAGTTACATCAATTGGCTTCAACGAACGAGCATAGAGCATTAATTTATAGGACTTTCCCTGTTCAATATTCTGCATCACAAAGTTTGGGGAAGTTTTGCAAACATCAGCTAAAAGTGAGCATGAACCTGATCAATGCTAACAGAAAAATAATTTTCAGTCACAATGCAAGTAGATTTCCATCATGTGCTTAAAGATACGAGAAAGACTTTAATATCTTGACGAAGCTTATAATTTCAAATAACTTTCAAATTTTATTTTTTCAAGATTCTAATGTCAAAGATCCAATTTTGCTGTGTTTTCCAAAACATGGTTAACATCCAAGTTCAGGGCACAGGATATGTCAGGTTAACTAAATTGAGTTGAGGTTTTATGAGATAGCATAAGAATAAATTACAAGAGAAATAAAAGGAAATATAAGTTTAATTGTTTCAAAACATTAAACTGACAGAAATAGAAACTGAAAAGGGGGATAAAAAGCCAATTATACAAATTTGAAACCGGAAGATAATATAGAAGTATATAGTTGAATTATTTGAAATATTGAAACATGAAAGATAATATACATGTATATAGTTGAATTATCTAAAACTTAAGCTAAAAGTGTGAGAATAACTTTACCATTCCCCAAAAACCAGGGTTATAAATACCAACTCCACCAGCAGGACATGCTTTGGATTCACAAAGAACTTCCATCCTTAGAGCGATTTTGTTCCGCTCGAAACATGATGAACGTTCAGTTGATACAATTAGAGATGATTCACCACCAATGACCGACCATGGATCAATATTCGAAGGCGTGTTGGGTCCACCAGCTTCGAACCCTGTGGTTGAACTTAACTTCAGTCTTCAAATATTTGATATCATCGATAAAATAAAAAATACATAAACCTCTTCGAACCTCAAAATTCGTATGATTTCATTTTCAAGGGCATAAAAACTCTTGACACTTATGGCTTTTCTTTTTTTACTTAATCACGGCAGTTAGTTGCAAATTGAAGAAATAAATGAAAAAAAAGGGCATTTAGCAGTGACAAGAAAATCGTTTACTAAGTTTTCTACAGAAAAAAACAAGGAAATTCAAGCTGACCTCTGTTACTGACGAGCTCTGCCCATAATCCTCCAGCCCCAGCATGATTTATCTCCTGCAGATAATCAAATTGCTTCCAGCTCAGCATGACCAATATTAACTAAAACTTGTTGCTGATAGAATAACAAGAGATTGATCATCCAAAGTGTTGTTTTTCGAATTTCAAATAATTAATCCAGGCTATCAGCAGGAAAATTAACAAGAATGAAAACGAACAAAAAAATTTATCAAAGCCGATTAACTCATCCCACCTCAAAAAATATACCGAACAAGGTTGATGGTATCTTTTTAGCCGATGCTTCAGAAGCATTTACGAGAAGAGCAACTGTCTGGTTTGCTTCAATCCCAGTAGCAGAAGATTGAAATGATGAACTCTGAACAATGAGAAAGCAAAGCAAAAGGCTGTGCAACCGAGTAAATGTACCCATTTCTCCCTTAGTGTGTATCCAGTTCTTCTGCAGCCTATTTAAGAAGAGATAAAGATGCTAATTCGGTTATATTTTGTCCTTAACCATAAAAAAGATATCAATATTATTAATAGAAAAGGCTATCATTTTAGACAAGTTTGTCAGGTGGTGTAACAAAATTGCATGCAGGACTTCTCATGTGAAGTAGGAGTCAATGCATTTAACTTGACCGAAAACTTTACTGATCGAGGTGACTAATTAAATATGAAACCACAACTATATAAAACTTCTGCAAAATTCCTGCTTTCTTATGGCATTTTATTTCATTACATGACCTTGTAGAGATAGTGGCAAATATTTGATCCATTCGTCATCTGATATAGAGAGATTTATGTACAATTGGAGATGACAGTCATAGGGAGAGAACAAACAGAAAGATTTTGGAAGGATTAAAATGAGCTGCAATGAAAAAAGGGTACTGAAGCAAATTTGACTCATTTGAGAGATTTCGGATAAGTTAGCCTTCTTTCTTGAAATTCCTGATATCTACATGCCTACACAATGCATGACAAAGGCCAAATGATATATAAGCTATGATATATATATGCCGTGTACTCGATAGACACGATAAAAGCTTAAACGGCATAGCCAACAAACATCACTCGCTAAATTTATTCAGTTGCAACTATTCTTTTCTGGTGGGTGTTGAAAACAACGTAGAATATCTATCATTAGTTTATTACATTACTCAACTATTCTTTTCTAGTGGGTGTTTATTACATTATTCTACGTTGAAAACAACGTAGAATATTTGTACCAAAAAAAAAAGAAAACAACGTAGAATATCAATATATTAGATACCCAATTCTCAATCTTTCTCTAATGTTGCCAACAAATAAAAATCTGCTAAATTAGTAGAGAGAGGGAATCAAAAAATGATCAGCTAAACATGATGCATTCAAGGAAGAATATTTACAACCCAATTTCACAAAACACAACCCGGTAACAAAAATGCTCCACAAATTACCACCAATGTAAGAAAGTACAGAAAAACGGGGTAAAGGTGAAAACTTTATTCAGTAAAACAAAATTTCCTTTCCCCCATTTTGCATATCTTTCCCTTCAAACATAAAATTTACCTGAAAATGGACACAAGCAGATGGGAAAGTCTTGTTCTGGGTATCTTGGTTTTTTTTCTGTGTATATGTGTGAGAGAGAAAAAGATGGTTCTTTGGGAATGAGATGAGAGAGTGAAAGGGGCAATCGGTGGCAGTTATATAGTGTGAGCTCAGAGTCTTGCTTCTACTCAATCAAATCATTAATCGTAATCGGACATTGAAATTTGTTGTGCAAACACACTCAATGAGTGTGTGTTTTTTAAATTGCTTGAAGCCGCAAAACATTGAGAAGCAAGAAAGAGTCCAAGATATTGATCTTATCTTTGCCTTGACGAAAGTTGTTTTTTTGCCTTTTTGGGTTTTATTCATGTGGAACTCTCCTTTGCATATAAATGTTGACTAGTGCGTAGCCCGTGCGATGCACGGGAAAACAATATTTTGATTGTATTATAAATTGAATAAATAAATAATATTAATTATGATTTATCTATTATTTTTAAATTAAACCGGGTTGGACACAGTCTGACCGGATGGACCGAGAACTGGTTTATAAACAGTCTAGTGCCCTTGAATAAAATATTTGCTATCGAATCTTTCAACACCAGTCTGTTGGACTGGTAGGATCGATAAGATTTTCTAAACAATTTTGTTACATTAAAAATAATTTTAAATAAAATTACATCTTTAAATAAAATTGAGATTTATAAATTGTTTATCAATTAATTTAAACATTTGAATTTATAAATTGTTTAGATATTTAAGTAACACTTTTTATTTAAATGAATTACACAAAGTACTATATATATATATATATATATATATAAGTATTATGTAATAAATTTTGAACAACCACAAATGATTTAATAAAATAACTTAATCGTTTCGATGATGATCCGGTTATAAAAACCTTATACTTACCGTACATTAATAAAAAAATATAATAAAATAATTATTTTGTTCACGTAAATAATAATAAAATGATAAATAAATATTCATAAATCATTAATTATGTTGTCATAAAAGTATTGTTAATATGATTATTCAAAGTTTGGACTACATCACATTCACGTAATAAAGTATTTTCAATATTAAAATTTATATTTAGGTTCAATAATCGATTTGGTCTGGTCAAACTGATACATAACTTAGTTATATGAGACCAACCAAGTTGTTTCAAAGTTTTTTGACTATTTTAAATATCACCTAAAAGTAATTCAATCAACGTGGACAGTACCTTAATTCAATCACCCGATTGATCCAAAGTAATTTCCTTATTTTCTTTAAATATAATATTTAATTTTATGAAATAAAAAAAATTTATGATTCATATATCTACACCAAATGATAATATATTAAGATTGTAAATTATATATCTAAAGATGAATTATTTATTTTTATTTTATGCATATTAATAAAAAATAAACATAGTAATTTAAAAAAATCAAGATTAATTGATTGGATATGCAATTTAAAGAATATTTTTAACGTTCAATATATATTTTAACATGATTGAATTTTTGGATTAGAATATATATATTTAAAATGATTTATTATTAAAAGTCAAAGAGAAAAGATGCCATAAAGATTACAACTTTGAAAAGTTTATAAACATTAACTTAGGAACCATCCGATTTTAAATGATTTTATAATTTTTGAAACAGGATACGTACAGCTAAAACCCATTAATTTAGGAACCATCCAATTTTTGATAATGAATTAAAATTAAAATGTAAAATAAAGAAATTGCTGAAAATAATATATAATGAATGTGGTTTGACTTTTCTTACTACTATTTATGGTAAATGTTAATTTTTATTATATATATATAGATTAGTAGGTTCAAAATAAAAATAAATTAACAAACTAATAAAAGAAAATATAGGTAGATGTTGTTTTAACTCTAGATTCTATCTAAATCATGCGTGTACCTATAAATGATTCCATTTTCATTGTCTCTTTGTAGCATTTTGTAAGTACTTAGGATGTATAATCATTTGGCAATAAAAATGCACATACTTATTTTCAAATAAAAGAGATATTCATTGTAAAATAGTATAACTAACTAATAGTATGACTAACTAATGAGTATACATTCTAATAGCAATCATTATTCATTAATCATGTTAGATAAATTGAAAAATGCTACAGTCCCGTTACGGAACCATTCTGTTGGGATTTGTAACGGTTAGATGCACTACAAATCCCAACGAAATGGTTCTATAACGGGATTGTAGCTTTACCAAGATAAATTATGAGGAAAAAGATATTTTAAAAACCTACTTCCTTCCCATAGTTCATTTTTCACAATCACATATTTGCCGGTAATTGTAATAGTAAGTTGATTAAGTTAAAAGATGTTTTATTTTCTTTTCTTTTACTTGCTATATTCGTATTTAACTAGATGATTTATCAATTTCAAAAGGGTAAATAAGAATATAACAAAAATATTAAACAAAATGTGTATTTTAAACCAAATACAACTTCTTTTTAACATTTTTTGATGCAGTCGACTCGGTATATTTGTTATCTAGCAAAATTACCTAACAAAGAAACAATAAACTTATTTGGGAGTTATCCATCAATATCTAGCATTACTATCTCATTGTATCTCCAAAATTAAGTAAGGCAAAACGTGGAAATAAATATTGGTCTTTTTCACCTTTTACTTTCTTCAAGTCAAGTTTCCCTCTTATTTGTTTATCGTGAAACAATCCTATAAGCCAACTATGCACGCCTTTTTTTTTTTTTCCTCTTTATCAAAATTTTATGGAGGTATCAGATTGTTTTTTTATAATTTATAAAGTCATGCATTATTTAATGTATTAACACCCGTCCAACGTATATATATTGTAAGACACGTGTCAATATTCTATTGGTGAAGAAATGTGGATGAATCCATAGAATTTGTTCTAAATCATTCACGTCCGAAAAATTAAGAAGTTTGAAAATTAAAACCTTATTATTGATACTCTATAATTATTTACTTATAAATTTTTTACATATCAATAAAATAAATAAGTTATATATTAAAATAATATTTCACAAATATTATCACATCGTTTGCCAACAATATTGTACTACAAATTGTTGATCCTGTGCACATGCACAGATAGAAATTACAAAGTATTATAACCTATTTGTATATATAACATTAAATATGTATATATCCCATTTTATAAGTTTGATTATTAATAAATGAAAAATATATAAACACAACTATACATGAATCTCTATATCGATTGCATAAAAAATAATACATAACATATTTTTTGTTGTTTTGAGGGATTGCGGCCAATTAATTACCTAGAAAAATATTAAAACAATAGTATTTATTATTATTATTGTTATATTTATTATTATTAATAATAATATATAAATTGTTTAAGGAAATTATTAATGGCATTAAGTTAATTACATGATTAAAAAGCTCATATTACTTTTAAAATAAAATATTTTGAAAAAAATGCAATATGATTTTTTATGGTTATGTAACTTACATTAATTTATCATTTATTGTAAATTATAATTAGTTGATTTTACTAATAACTATTGTATAATATAATAATTAATAAAATATGATTATACTTAATTAATATAAAATTTAGCGGTTTTACCATAAATAATTAAAAATTGGAGAGAAATTTTTGTCATTTGCATTAATTTAATAGCTTGAAATTATATAGATATAGATATATATTAGATAATAAAAAAACTTGTAACGACTTTTGGAGGAAAATAAATGAGGTTTTATTAATTAACAATTATATATATAGATACCAACGTCTCCACCTGATATGGGCCTAAGGCATCCCAATGAAACGTGCTACATATAACATAGTTCATGTGTAATTTTTGTAGCCCGTTTAGAAGGCCTTATTAGCTTGGTTATTGGGTTTGAGCGGTAGAAGGGCTAGCCCACGCTGTGGCCCAATCATTTGAAATATATATATATATATTATTTTTTTTATGTACTCCGGAAAAATTTATATGGAAAATAAGCTCAAAAAATTGTGAACAGAAACTTCAGTCGGACGCTCGTTTGAGCGCACACTCATCAGTACTCGGTCACTCGCATAAAACTGTCAAGTACATTCTTCTTCTTCATTGTTTTCAAAATCTCCATTTTTTGGCTCTCGTGTTTGAACCTCGGTTTTACTGTCTCCATTTCAATTGGCCAACGTTTTCTGATCAGTTCGTGTTTTCTTTATGTAAAAGTTTCGTTCTTTATGTCTTTCGTTCATGGAATTTGGGTCAGCTGAAAGGTGTTAAAAAGAAACAGGAAGAAAGAACAAAATAGATCTTTTATCTTAATTTTCAGAACTAGTCTCATATTTTGGTAGCTTTCCACGTTTATCCATATAAACTACCCACTCCTTTTGCTGAATTATTTTATGGGTTTTGGAAGATTCGTGTAAAGTTTGTATTTAAACTTGATTTCTGGTGTAATTAACACCTGCATTTTGTTTGTATGCATTTGCAGGAAGCCGTTTCTTCAGAAATTTTATGAATTTCGTACAGCTATGGTTCTTGTCTAATCTGATTCATTTTGATGGTGTTGTTTATAAAAAATTCGTGTTGTTGATTCATTAAGGTGTTGTATCGTATATTGGTAAATTAAGAAACCCCCACTGGTTTTTTATGGCGAGTTTTTTTCTGGGGCTTCTGTGTATAAGTTAGTTTGCCATTGCTGAAGCTGGATTAGAAATCTGTGTACACTTTTGTTTTTTAAGTAGAAAATGGATCAAGAATTAGGTTCTCAGCCAAATGCTCCGTACTTAATTATCTAGTGTTTTTAAGATGTGAAGCCATTGAGACATCGGTAGTAATCATGTAAGCGAAAATCTCGGATCAGGGAAAGAGCTGAAAACGGCGCAGATTACGAAAAAATGTGAGGTCGGTTAAGTGCAGAGGGTATTTTTACGTGTGATGCAATGTGAGGTGATGAGTGGGGTTTATGGTGTTTAAAGGCAGGGAGGAGAAAAGGTTGGTTAAATTTTTTCATCTTTTTGTTTCCCATGAAATCGTCGGGATTATATTGTTGCCTGGTTAATTAATTATTCCAAAATTTAATTTTGTGGTGTTATTGCTGTGGCTTGTTTGATCGTACTAGCAGGTTCTTGGTGAATCGTGAATGGGGAAAAACATGGACACTTATTGCATATTCTGTCTTTTGAGGAAAAAATTAGGTGCATTTGATTATCTCTTTTCGAGAACCTTAAGATATCGACGGGGAATGATTTTGAGAATTATTTATATGTGAATGCCAATTAGACTGATTGTTATCTCTTTTATGTTATTTAGTATAAGGTAGTTCTGTATTGAGTTTTTATATTTCTTCTGAAGAGCAAAAGAACGAAAGTGCTAGTGTATGGGAAATCGTACATTACGCACGTAGCCTGCATCTTGACCTCTTAAAGTGACGATATTAGTTAGTTTTCTTACTTTTGTATTTTCTTGTTCTCACAGACTGTTGAAGCTTGATGTGTGAAGAAGGTTGCCTCATAATGTTGGCATTACAAGTCGCAAGTTAATTAGTTTATCTGAGTTTTCCAACGAAGGTAGCAATTAAGTAGCATATATAGCTCACATTTGTTTTTATGATTTGTATGTCTCTTTTTTGTGATGCAAGATAGTGTTAGAATTTGTTGTCTGGGGATGCCTTTGGATTATTTAGCTTAAATTTTACGGTTGTGTTGTGGTAGGCCGGCCTAACCATCAGACCTACATACTCTTATACAAATAACAAATAGGCACACTTTTCATTAAAAAAATGTTATACTTTAAGAAAACGACATAAAAAGAAATATGATACGACATTTGATAGTAAGTATGCATTTTTGTTCAATTCGTATGATGGGTTTGACCCGCCTAACGGTTAGATTGTCTCACACAAGAATTTGTGGCGAAAACAAATTCGTGTATGAGATGGTCTAATTGTTATGCGGGTCTGTCCGTCATATCTATTTTAATTAAAATGTATACAATTTTTGTTTATGCATTTTTTGGGATATGATATTTCAATTTGAAAGTATATATGCTGTTAAGTATGAAAAATTGTTTCAATGTGGAAATTCCAAAAAAATAAAAATAAAAAATAAAAAATAAAAAAATGATTGAAAGAGAGGAAGAGGGTGATTGGTACTGTCAAAATTACAATAAATAAATAAATAAATGAAAGAAATTAGAAATAAGGAAACCATTTTGCTACGTGCTTTTCCCTTCCTCCTCATGCCCCAAACTTGCTGGCCCCTCCGAGGAAAATCATGATCTTTGCTCATCCATGTATGGACAATCTTGTTTTGCAGGTAAGATAGCATACAAATAGCTGCAGAATAAAACTGTAAAAAGAAAAAAAGACAGAAAATAATTGTAAAAACTAAAACAAAATAGAAGAAATTAGATTTTAGCAAATATGTCCTAATGGGTGGGCCCAAGGATCAAGATTTTGCCCCTCCCTCCAAATGCATGGATCCTCCCAAGAGAAGGCTTTATCAGGTTTGGAAGGGTAGAAATGTAAGTTCTTTTCTCCTTTCCCTTTTTTTTTTTTCTTTGACATAATTTTTGCTTTTGGTTCTTTGTGTTTTTAAATTCATTGTTAATTTTGTTTATACATATTGTGGAGAAACTTTTGAATGAAAATTTGGTTTCAAACAAGAGAACCCTTTTTTGCTAGTTAGTTTCTTGGGGTTCAACAGAAAGGATGAAATCATTTTCAGAACATGTGTTCATATATATGAGCTTTCTTGATTATGTTGTATTTTTCTTTTTTCTTCTTTTTTTTTTTCAGAAATTCCTGTGTGGGGGGAGATTGATCTTTGGTCCCGATGCATCATCTGTTCTGTTGTCGACATTACTGATAGGGGGGCCAGCTTTGACTTTCTGCTTCAAAATGCTTATGAGAATCTCGGACGCCGATCTCTTGTACGGTCGTGCCGTGTTGACCGTGGGGCTCATCCTCACGTTTTTGGTGAGAAAAAATTAATTATCTGCATTTCGAATGAAAAAGAGCGTCGAAATTTATTATCATGCAAAGCTTCTGCAAAACACACTCGAGAGAAAAAAAACAAAAAGAAAGAAAGAAGTGATTGTAAGTTTTTTAGCTGAAACAGAACAATATATTTCAGTTTTTAGGGTTCATCATTGTGCGTTTTAGATTTCTGATTTGTCGTTTGATGAAAAAAGGCACTTATATTATCACCTTCACCAAACGAACTGTTTATCCTATTCATTTTTTTTGATTTTATGAACTACTACAGCTCACTATTGACCCTTTATATGAAATAAGACACACTCAACTCATCACATTTCACATTTGCAACTTCTTTTTTCGTCTCGTTTTCAACAGGATTTGGCTTTTCTTTACATGACGGCTTCAAGAAACCCAGGAATAATACCTAGGAACTCCCGGCTGCCCGATTCTGACAGCCGGTCGATATCCATGGCATCCATGGACTGGATAAATTGCGAAACACCCTCTTTGAGAATTCCAAGATTGAAGGACGTGTATGTGAACGGGCACACCGTAAAGGTGAAATTTTGCGACACGTGCTTGCTGTACAGACCGCCTCGTGCTTCCCATTGCTCCATTTGCAACAACTGTGTCGAGAGGTTTGACCATCACTGCCCCTGGGTTGGCCAGTGTATTGGAGTTGTAAGTTCTATTTCGAAAAATAAAAAAGTAAAAAAATTGCCTGATTGAGTTAAGGTTGAATTTATTTCGCAAAATTTAATGACCTATGAAGTGCTACACACTGATTTGGCTATGTCGGGAGGGAAAAATCGAATATATATATTGAAGTCTTTAGTTCAATGGAGTTGATTCTTGTTGCGTGAATGGAGTTGATTGAATTGAATACTCGTCATTTTTTCGTGCAGAGAAACTACAGAACGTTCATCTTGTTTGTGACGACATCAACATTGCTTTGCATACACGTTTTCACGTTCTCTTTGGTGAATTTGCTCAAAGAGCCGGGCCCACTTTGGAGAAGCATGTCGAGAGACGTGTTGTCAGTCATCCTTCTTGTTTACTGCTTCATCTCGGTTTGGTTCGTCGGTGGACTTACCGTCTTACACTTCTATCTCATGTGCACCAATCAGGTTGCTCTCTCTCTCTCTCTCTCTCTCTCTCTCTCTCTCTCTCTCTCTCTCTCTCAATACGCATGTTTACCACGTGTTTCTGTACTGTGGAGTACTGTTTGCCGAATAATATTTAGCTTTACCCATCGAATTATGTTATGCGAAAGGTTTTAATTAATTCGTTAACGCATTCCTTGATGAAAAAACAGACGACGTACGAGAACTTCCGATACCGTTACGACACGAAGGAAAACCCGTACAATGAAGGGGCTTTTAACAACCTAAAGGAGATTCTCTTCTCGAAATCCGTGCCTTCGCACGTTAACTTCCGCGAGTGGGTGACGGTCGATGATATTGACGAGTCAATTGCGGTTTCGTTTTATGGGAGACACCTCGGCTCCGACATCAAGAAACCGAGCTTTGTGGATTTGGAGGCGGGCATACTCGGAAAGGACGGGAAACCAGTCGTTCGGGACTACAATGGGATTGACGATAGCTTGAAGAAGCCCAAGGGCGAAAACGTCATTCTCGATCCTGGTTTTTTCTCAAGCTATCGGGAAGAGAAATGCGGTGAGGAAGATGATGAAGAGAGTGAGGTTAGCTCTCATAAAACATCATCTGCTGTGCTCCATAGATAAGGTAAATATAATGGGTCGATCTGCCTAACGGTTAGACCGCTTGATGTAAGAATTTGTGATATGTGTTTGTGTGTGTGTATGTATATATATTAAAATTTGGGTAATTTGGAAGTGTGTTAACATATTATACTTTGGCTACATTGTGAAGTTGAGGAGGTTTGAGCTGTGGTGCATGAGTTAGCCTCTCAAGTGGTTCTCATCAGAAGAGGAAAAAAGAGTTGTGAATGGTGAAAAGTGATGGGGATGCAATTTTTACCTCTCATACTTATGTGGCAGGATAAATTTGACAGTTTTGTTTTTGATTTCTACATTTTTTGGTCCTATATATTTTGATTTCCCCTTATTGTTGGAAATTGGAATTCAAAATTATATTGTCACATGAGCAGTCAGCAGGAAGAACCCAGGGAGGATTAGTATATTGTTTTGTCACAATGTTTTTTTTCTCTATATGATTTGTAATGTTATAAAAAAAATGCATCATTTCTAGCAACTGCATATTATATTACAATTATTATTCATAGGTTTTAGTGCGAGAAAACCGAACTGTTACGGTTGACCCGTCATTTTTCTTTTTATGGAATTATATTATGTAATGTTACACTTTGATTTATATCGTTTTTTTTTAAAGTATAATATATGTTTAGTGAAAATATGTATATTTATAATAAATAAATAAATAAATAAAAATTGGCTTAATGGTTAGATCACCTAACATAATTTTTGCCATGCTAATTTAATCACTGGTCACTAAAATTGTGCCCAGTCATATTACTTCAGATATGGAGCAATTATAATATAAAACATCTTAAGGTTGACTTGCTAAGTTAATAATAAATGATGAATTTTTGTTATTCCATTAATCAAGAAATAAAAGATGCATAAATAAATTAAATTAAGACAAAAAGAACTGATTAATGTGCACTGCATTCTCTACCTGTACATGAATCATAGCATTTCACAATATTAACTTTTTTTTTTTTCTGTTTTTGATCATTTTGTATTTGATTAACATAACNTAAGATTGTTTTAGCACGACAAAATAATTAAAGCGCGGTTTAATTTTCAGAAAAGGGACGGCTAAAGATTGTTTATAGATGTTAATTTTCACTAATTGAACAAAAATACATATAAATTATAATATAATATAATTTTATATTTTACAATATTTTAGAATTTCTAAAAAATATATTGGTAACTTTTAGCTAGACAACAAACTTAATTGATAAATCACTTCCTTAAAAAAACACAAAAAATATACAATTAGCCAAATAAAACCTAAATCATATGACTAGTAGTATTATCATTTCAAAATCAAATAATTTCGAAGGCTAAACATATTGTTGTATTTATTTATTTATCATATCATAAGAATATGGCATAGAGTATAGTAAACTCATAACAGAAAAAAATGCTTTTTAAGGAAATAGTATATGCTTTCCACATTTAACCTAGAAGGTTTCCATTAGCACAAGTAAAAGATTTGTTCCAATTAAATTCATTATACATAGCATTGACCTTATTACAAATTTCAAATCTCCAAATATTTGTAGCTGGTTGGATTAATTAATTATGCTACACAAGCACTTGGTAAATAATTAATTGTTTGATAGATAACAATAACTAAATTTACAATCATTTATTCCAAAATGCTCATATTTTGATTTTTAAGAATCTAGATTTTTTAAATTCAAAAAATTGTTTCAAATCGGTATTTAATAAATAAGTTAAATTTAAACTTGGATGGGTCCAATTTTTAATTCACCTCAAACTTCTACTTAGTATGAAACCGGCGATTAATTAGCAAACAAAGCGGTCGAAAATGAAAAGATCAATAGCATTTTGTTTATTTATTTTTAATTTTATTAAATAGTTAAAATTGCAGTGACAATTAAACCGATTTAGGGAGGACGAAACAAACATTCTTTCTTCTTTAACAAATTCCGTCTCGGGAGGGCAAAAGTAGCTGTTTTCTTGATCACACCATTAACGTTTTCTCCTCTCCCCTCTCTCTCTCTCGCTCTCTCGAGGCCCAAACCCCATCTCGATTTCTTGATTTCCCAAAATTCTTATGCATGATTTTGCATGCAATGGTGAGGATTGGTGAAAAGGCGCGACCTTTCGGGTTTGTTATGCCTTTTTGTGCGTGGCCCGTTGCCGAGGAACAAATGGGAGGAAGGAGAGGAGCTTCTGTTTTCGAAAATTAACAGCAATCGGGTTTTGGGTTTTCTTAATTCCTGATTAGCATTTTCTTTTTTTTTTTCGGATTTTTGTTCTTTTCGACATTGAAGCTATATGGACCGTGATAAACCCAAGCCCAAGAGGCTTTATCAAGTTTGGAGAGGGAGTAATGTAAGCATAATTTCTTTTGGGTTTCTTTTGATTGGTTGCTTGTTGTGTCTGAATATTGGACAAGGGAGAAGAGGTTTTGTTGGTTCAGGGGTGTGATTTTTCTTGGATAAAAAAGGCTTTCTTTTGTATTTTGTGGCTCTATGAAGATGTTTGAAGTGAAATGATCCATTTTAACTTGTATGAAGAGACTAAATTTCCAACAATTGCAGAATTTATGCTTGTTTCTTGAAATTCCTAGTAGTTGTCCTTCTGACGTTTCATGTTGTGAAGATTTTGCATTTAAACTTTTTCAATGCTTGCAAGTTTCAAGTTCATCATGGAAATTCATTTCTTTTCAAGTATATGCATATATTTATGAGGGGTCCAAAATTTTAGTGCCTGTGGTTGTGGTCCTGAGCGAACATGCTCATACATAATATTTAATGTTACAAGTGTACGCATAGCTGAACCGGCAATCAAATTATGGTTTTTTGGCACAATATTATATACCAATCACTCATAAGGCTTTTAACTATTTTGTCTTGTTTCCATTGTTGCAGAAATTCTTGTTTGGAGGAAGATTGATATTTGGTCCAGATGTGTCTTCTTTGTTCCTATCCATATTCCTAATAGCAGGTCCAGCAATTGGCTTTTGTATAAAGATCTTGTTTATTATCAAAAACCAGCTGAAAGAGAACAAAAACGCATTCCCTTGGTATTCCGTTCTTATTGTGGCTTTACTGCTAACCATTTTGGTGAGTAATAACATCTTCATCCCGTGTTAAGCTGCACTTTAGCCTACACATTTATTGTGAAACTTGTCACTTTTAGCTTAAGCTGAAAAATTATATGTATGGGGAAGGTTGAAATTAAATAATGAAAAATTGGAAGTGTCGGGTTGAATTGTGAGTCAAGGCAAGTAAAATTGCTACACAAAAGGTGCTCTGTATTGGTCACTCTCCAATAGGGAATTTTTACTTCAGTTCCATTTTCTTTGTATTTCCTGGCATATCTAAAAAATTTTGAGATCTTATAAATGTGTATCTGCTTCCTCTTTAGGTTCCTCTGTTCTTTCGTTATTTTCTTATGATATTTACTACTTTTATTTCAATAAAATGTTCTAATTAGCAAATATGTGCATGTTGATATGTCTCTATGTATCTAGTTATTCTTTACAAATATTAACATTATTTTGCAGGATATATTCTTTCTCTTCCTTACAGCCAGTAGAGATCCCGGGATTGTGCCTAGAAATAAAAAACCTCCTGAATTTGATGAAGCCATTGAAATCGACACTCCTTCTATGGAGTGGGTCCATGGTAGAACTCCCCATTTGAAGCTACCGAGAACTAAAAATGTGCTTGTAAATGGACACACAGTGAAGGTGAAATTTTGTGACACGTGTTTGCTCTACCGTCCTCCTCGAGCATCTCATTGCTCCATCTGCAACAACTGTGTTCAAAAATTTGATCATCATTGTCCGTGGGTTGGTCAATGCATCGGTATAGTAAGTGTTTTTTAACTGTTCTGACATTCTTATGGTGTTATGATGATTGCTAAATAAGGCCAGTTTGTTATTATCTGCCTTTCTTTAATATGGTTATCTGCAATTATGTTGGCCATTTGTTTACATTGTTGCTAGGCTTGCTTAAGTTTCATCGAAAGGTTCGTTATGGACTTTATTTTTTTCTATCAATTTATTAGAGATAATTACAATCACCATCCGTGAGGTTTATCTTAGTTATAGAATACTCAATTATTATTACCTTTTTTTTTCGAATTTTGCAAATACACCCCCTTGATGAATAAAATTGACTTTCATACTACACCTGTTGAGGTATAATTTTGTAACAAATAAAACCTCAAGGAAATGTGTATAATGCCTTGTGGTTCTATTTGTACATTTACAAGATATCTGGTTTTCTGTTTTTTGTTTTCTTTTTTCTTTTTTTCTTTTTTTTGCAAGTACACTAGACTTCAGAGTTACCTTAGGAAAATCATCCAATTTATAGTTCAGTTTCCACCTCATTTTATGATTCTTTGAATATTTGAACAGCTTAAACCTTAAAGCAGAGGAATAATTGTAACTTATCACGTGATTTAGTGGTGATTACTTACAAATGACGATAAATTTTATGCAGCGAAATTACAGGTTCTTCTACATGTTCATAACAACATCGACAATACTGTGCCTTTATGTTTTCGTTGTCTCGTTTTACAACATTGTCCACTGCAAAGGTAGTGTTTGGAAAGCCATGTCACATGATTATTTGTCAGATGTCCTCGTTGTGTACTGCTTCATTTCTTTCTGGTTCGTGGGTGGCCTCACAGTTTTCCACTTCTACTTGATTAGCACAAACCAGGTGATCGATCATCTCATTTAATTTTTTTTTTTTTTTATTATTATTATTCCTGCACAGAAAACATGATTAACAGTTTCAAATAGATCGTTATAGGAGTAAAAACTTAAAAAGTACAGTCTTTCTTCTCATTAATCCAGTTAAAGTAAAAATGCATAGATCTTCCAAAAAAAAAAATTAATGCATATTATAATTACTTTATTTTTTAAATGCAGACAACATACGAGAACTTCCGATACCGATATGATATAAAGGACAATCCTTACAACAGGCGGATGATCAACAACTTCAAAGAAGTTTTCTTCTCCAAAATCCCACCCTCATTGCACGATTTTCGCGCAATAGTCGAAGAAGAAGATGAAACCACGGCAGTAAATCACGATTTCACGGTGGATACTAATTTGACGAGCTCGAAAGAGAAAATCGATATCGAGATGGGTGGCGGCATGTTTTCAGACAACAGTAGTCTCACGCTTCCCGATATTCTGCGTAATTTGGAGTATGATGGGATAGAGGAGAGTATGAAGCAAAGGGAAGGTAGTGAGAGATCTTATTCGGGCCAGGAAGATATTGTTCGGGTCGAACGAGAGCTGAAGGAGTCGATGAGTGGGCTAACGATTGATCTTGAGGAGGAGGATGTAGATGAAAAATTTGATGCCATAATAGCTGAATTACGACGGACTAAAGGATCTGGTCGAACGTAAGATAACAGTTAAATAGTTCTTGGGCAAGACTTGCAAATTTTAGCAGAAGTTCTCGTATAAAATGATAATTTTGCATATTTTCCGAGTCCGAGATAGTCATGCAACTATGTAAAAACTTTCCAACTTTATTGACCTGACAAATGTTTTTATGCTCTTAGCTTCTGTTGATATATATTTTTTTTTTATTGTTATGCAGATGAACAAACTTTCATGATGGTGGTGCTCAGCGGATATGTTTCTTCAACTGGAAGATGNTGTGTTTCCTTTTTCTTTGTATATTTCTTTGATTTTTTTTTCAAGAATTGATTTGATATAAATATAAAAACTAATAACCAGTAGTTAAAAATATGAGTGAATAGATATTACATTTTATAGGAAAAACATATGTAGAATTTTATTTTAAAATTTGCATTTTAAAAATTGTATTGATAAATTGAGAAGTGAAAAAGTAATTCCTTCGTTCTGAAAAAAAAAAAAGAAAATAAAAAGAAATGAAAAAGTAAGAAAAAAAAATATTCTATTTTTACTTCAGAAAAGCCAAAACATAAATGCAATTATGCTTTTGCAAGAGGGAAAAATTTCAGGCTGAAGTGAAGCTAAGACCACGAAATAATATTTGTCACAAAAAACCCCAAAACAAGTCAACACCAACAAAGGAATCAAATTAACCAATAATATCACTCCGCGTGTCAGAAATCCATCGAACCCGCAGATTTCTCAGGATGAGATAACATCCAATCATTTTCAAATTTCAATCCAACTTACATAGTTACAACTTACAACTTACAACTCCCCGTTATCCCTGAGCAGCTCTCAGTATCGTTGAAGAAAAAAATGCTAGCAGAAATGGCTCTGGTAAAACCCATTTCCAAATTCAACACCTTTACCCCAAGAATCGGAGGCCCAAGAAGCCCGCCGTGCCGGAAAACCCATTTCGCCGTGAAAATGTCGTCCGCCGCGCAGTCGGCCGCCGTCACGAAGAAAAAGAGCCAGAAACAAGAAATCAAGGAGACCCTTCTGACGCCGAGGTTCTACACGACGGATTTCGACGAGATGGAGCAGCTCTTCAACACGGAGATCAACAAGAACCTGAACATGGCGGAGTTCGAGGCCTTGCTCCAGGAGTTCAAGACCGATTTCAACCAGACCCATTTCGTGAGAAGCACCGAGTTCAAGGAGGCCGCCGAGAAGCTCGAGGGCCCTTTGAGGGGAATCTTCGTGGAGTTTCTGGAGAGGTCGTGTACGGCTGAGTTCTCGGGTTTTCTTCTCTACAAGGAGCTGGGCAGGAGGCTCAAGGTATGATATTCTTAACTCTTGGTTATTTACTTATTACTTCATTAAACTTTAGCCAGAAGTTTCTGAATTTTGGGACTCATTGATGTTTTTATGAGTCTATTTTGTCCTGGTTGGGAAATAAAAGTAATAATCACTGGATTTGAACTTTGAAATAAAAGTAATATGAGTCGTCATATTGTTTTAACTAAAATACATACTTATGCCATCATGTTCTTTTTAATAGTATCACCTTTCTGTTTGATGGATGATATATATGGGGAATCTTGTAGACATTATATTGACTGTTGATTTGATTTATTTATGATTTATGCTTTGGGGGCGTGAGCTTGAGTAAATCTTCATAACCTACACAGCCAAGAGGAACATAAAGTGATTGGGATTCTTTAATCATATACAGATTTTGGAAGCTTCATATCAGAAGGAAAAATAAAGAGACTCATCATTAATTAACCGAGCCTTTTCAAATTTATTCCCCTATCGAAATAAGGTTTTAGGCGCACTCGGTCGAATCTATCATTTATTTGTGAAATTTGTTAGTCAAATGCATGTTTATTTTTTCACTATTGTTTAGTTCCCCTGAGCTTCACTATTACCGGTTTCTTTGTGCAGAAAACAAACCCTGTGGTTGCTGAGATTTTCTCACTAATGTCTAGAGACGAAGCCCGACATGCTGGGTGAGTTTGAATTTTTATTTTTTTTTTTATTTGCACAAACTCTCTAAAAGGCAAATACCTTGAATAAGAAGAAAATAAAGGTTTATGGTGAAACTTTGTTGACAGGTTCCTGAACAAAGGTCTATCAGACTTCAATTTGGCTCTGGACTTGGGTTTTCTGACAAAGGCCCGAAAATACACATTTTTCAAGCCCAAGTTCATTTTTTATGCTACTTATTTGTCTGAGAAGATCGGGTACTGGAGATACATTACTATTTACAGGCATCTTAAGGAAAACCCAGATTACCAATGCTATCCTATTTTCAAGTATTTTGAAAACTGGTGTCAAGATGAGAATCGACATGGCGATTTTTTCTCGGCGCTGATGAAGGCACAGCCACAGTTCCTCAACGACTGGAAGGCTAAGTTGTGGTCCCGCTTTTTCTGTCTCTCGGTAATTAAATTAACTCAGTTCTTACAGCTACATTTTACCACATTTTTATATGATTCGTTAAGACTAGCTGTGTCTAATAAATTTCCTAGGTTTATGTGACAATGTACCTTAATGACTGCCAAAGAACTGCTTTCTATGAGGGGATTGGCCTTGATACGAAAGAGTTTGACATGCATGTCATCATTGAGGTAATTAATTATCTACCTTTTGCGATTTTGTGTACTGTCTTGATTGAACTCTTTCAAATAAGTGTTTAGTCCATCCGAAAGCATTAGAATGTTCTTGACTGTTGTAAAAATCTCATTTTTTTTTCTCAAAATTCAATCTTTTTTTTTCTTTTTAACTCTGATCACTTTTGTGCAGACAAATCGCACGACTGCAAGAATATTCCCCGCTGTGCTGGACGTTGAGAATCCAGAATTCAAACAGAAGTTGGATCGGATGGTGGAGATCAACGAGCAAATACTTGCAATTGGGGAGAGTGATGATATCCCATTTGTCAAGAACTTGAAGAGGATTCCTCTTATTGCTGCTTTAGCTTCTGAGTTGCTTGCTGCATATCTCATGAAACCTATTGAATCTGGTTCGGTTGACTTTGCCGAGTTTGAACCCGGGCTAGTCTACTAATTAGCTTTAGCTGCTTGGATTCATTTTGCAGTGTATTATTGTGAAGTTGTATAAAAGCACAGAGAAAAATGTTGTATGAAATGAAACCTGTGTACTATTGCCATTTTGATAATGCTTATATGGTTTTCACTGTGAGTTTGTGTCAATCAAATTGCAATGAGTTTTATGTGTGAATAACATATTCATATGTAATTTTTTGAATTGATATCTATAATTTGTTCGGAGTATCTCATGATACAATGGTTTCGATAGAGTGAAACAGATTTTTTCTAATTCTCATCCCAAATACAAAAAGTTCCCTTCAAATGTAATGTAACTTGAGTGAAAACAAAACTCCAAAACAAAACCAACCATTTATGAGGGGAGTGAGAAAAACAGAAGACTTCAAAAGCAGAACTTACTGCATATGACATTCTACAATGCCTAGAATTCAAGCCAGCCTTTTTATGACTGAGCAAATTTACAAATTCACCTGAGTTGATATCGTTGCAAATATCTAACACACACACACACACACACACACACAAAAGAAAAGAAAAAAGACTATCTTTTCAATCAGATTTTTCAGACTTCAGCTGTGGGGAATCATTCTTTCTAGCAGCTGATGGCTCATCCTTCTTAGGTCGAAATAGTATGCCAAACACCCAAACTGCAGCTAAAGTGGCCTCAACAGGCGCAAGCCAATAGACGATCAAATGCTCCTTGGTTATGTGCTCCCCATTAGCAAAAGCCCACCCCATTACCTAAGAAGCATAGAGAGATTTTACTCGATAATTCAAATAGACTAATAGACTAATAAAGGTTTGTTACCCCAATAGAGCTCGAGATTCGTGAGATTTTACCCCAATAGAGCTCGAGGTTCGTGAGATTTTATCCCAATAGACTAATAAAGGTTTGTTGAACGAGATTTTACCAAATGCAAAAAGATTAGTTAGAACCACAAAATAGCTGTCTATGCAAATAGAAAAAGGTGAAATGAGTTAGAGGACAGTGTCTGGTGAATAATATTTTAGAAGAAAACATTTTTACTTCAGTCAAAAATCAAATGCTGAATCATAATTATCAGGGATTGGCATATGAAAACAAGGAAGAATTGCTTTTATATCAGCCAAAAGCTATCAATAACATTTTTAAAGTGGTTGCAGCCATTTTCGGAGTATAATTAAGGAATAATACACAATAGAAAGAAAAGAGAGAGAGAGAGAGAGAGAGAGAGAGAGTACAAAGAACTTCTTACAGAGGCTGGATTCATGCATCCCCCAGTTAGATCAGAGCCAAGAAGGTGAAGAGTGAGCTTGGAGACACTTGAAATCCAAGTTTTCATAAAGAAACTGTTGCTAACTTTTCTGGACAGCCCAAGTGATATTATCACAATCGAAAATGTCAGAAAACCTTCGGTCAACGCTCCCTTTGCAATATCAACAGTCAAGCGTGGCCCACGTCCTATCCCGGGCACTGTTTGCAAGATGAGCCTCACGCCGTAAACTGATCCAACTACCTTTGAGAAGAAAATTTGAAGAAGAAACAGAATTTTTTAAGTATACAAGCCTCGGAAAACAAGTTAATCGATGTAGAAGAAACAAGGTGCAGGAGTATATATATCCTCACAGACATTGATAAGTTGCGCTTTTCCAAAGTTTCAGGAAAAGAGAACGTGTAATGTACATGCTTTTCATAAACCAGCTCATAACAACATAACGAGGATTAATTTTCCAAGCACTTCACTCTTGGCCCTTTGTGGCAAATTCCGAAGGGAATAAAGCCAAAGATTCCAACTTTACTCTTTTCCTTCCTTGTTTTAAGTATTTAAACGTTGTTATTAATCCCCCGAACACCTTGATTAAGAGGGCTGAAAAACCAACCAAATTACTTGACGTTATGAGATGACCTCACAAGCTTGTTCGAACTCAATGCTTTCTTTCCCCCCTTTCTTTGAGGGATTCAATGAGATGTTTAGCTCCACTCGAAAATACAAGGCGACAAAATTATGTACAACAATGTTCATCAATCAAACCTTTCTTCTCAATTGGTACCCAAACTTAATTCTTGAAGCACTAAGAATAAAACAAACTAACACAAAATGACATTATGTCCAGCTCCTGCACTAATTATCCTACTCACTCATATTGATCAATAGCTGAATCAATAGACTCTACCACCAAACTCCCCAAATAACCACACATATCTGAAAAAAAAATACATTTTTTACCCAAACAATAAAAAATAAAATCAGCAAACAGAGGGACTTTGAGCTTGAGATAACCTGTGCGGGGATTCTGGCCCCAAGAGTGAAGAGAAAATTGGGAAAATCGCCGGACACGGCGGCGGACAAGACGGTGAGGGGGTTGTAAGCCCCGCCTTTGGTGGCCTTGCCCATGAATGCGAAGAAGAACATGTTAATGAGAGAGACCGAGTATCTGACCACCTCGCCCTTCACGTCGTGAGCGCTATAGCCCAAGATTCTGTGCACGAATATCTTGACGAGCACGCTCGACCAAACCCACATGAAGGACATCGCGAAATCTGCGGCTAGGAGACGCCGCCGCCGGCCGTCGGCCGCCATTTTTGCCGGTGCTGTGGATGGAATGGATACACGCACTTGGGGGTGGGTGCGAAGCGAGCTGATTGGTCTTCCGCCCGTGACTGAGGCCCGCTTTATGGGAATCTTTTCGTGTTGTATGACTCTTTTTCTTGGTTCGGAGAAATGCAGCCCTTCATGTTTGTCGGATACTCGGATTCTTGTTTGTGGTGTGTATGATTTTTTATTTTTAAAGTTACTATTTTATTATTTCCATTTGTCTGGAATTTTGTGACATTTTAATATCTTTTAAAATTTTAGACTTTTAAAAATCTCCAAATTTAGGATAATTCCTTAGAGGTGAGATTTGTAGTTTGATGCCATATATGGTTTTTTTTTAAATCTCAAAATAACAAATATTAGTCTCATAAACTTTTTTTAAATCTCAAATGAACACACTGAGACTTTTAAAAGTCCTAAAAGTATAATTTAAATATGTCAAAATTTTTAAGTTAAAGTCTTAACTTGACATATTATTATACATGACTTTTTAAAACTTCAATAATTCTTGACGTTGAGCTTAACAAGTCATGTTTGATTCAACTAACGTGGATTTTCATCATTTGAAACCAAAAAAAAAAAAGAAGAATGAATAATCACAAGTCTAATTTTGCAAATTTAACCACACTATGTTAAACTTATAAATAAATATATGATTTCTTATTAATTATTTTATTTTTTACTTTTTGCAACGGGATTAATCATCTCAATTAAAGACGGTTCAGTTTATGTGGACAAAACATTTATCTATATTTATATAATAAGAATTAACATTTATCAAAAATAGTAGGTCAAATTATGGTCAATGTCGGATTTGCATTAAGTATTTTCTAGAACTGGTAAGTTTTTGTCCTTTTCACACTTCTCATTAATTATGTCCTTTTCACACTCATATTAATTATGTCCTTTTTACACTTCTCATTAATTATGTCATTTTCACACATCTAATTAATTCATTAATTACAACATAATTATCATAAATCATTCCATCTGAGCTTTTATCGTTAAAATGTATAGCAATCTGTTATGACCTTATCCCATTGATATTTTCATGAAGCGTCCTTATCGCATTCTATTTTTTGGTAACCACTCTATATCAATAACCGGATATTTGGTTAATGATAGCACACGTCTTTATTTCAAGGAGCGGATATTCTTTGACCTTTAATTAATCTGAACTGATTGCCTTGACATTTCAATTTTTAAAAACTCTTTTTTTAAATATTTCGGCTTAAGATTCGGATTTCATTATACAAGTCATCGGATTGTTTGAATGAAAATGAATGAAAAGAACACCAAAAACAAGTAGTCTTATTCATATAACCAATCCTAAAATATTAGTTTGTTCACCAAAAAGAGACAAATCCTAGAAATCCTAAAATATTAGTTTGTTCACCAATTCTAAAATATTAGTTTGTTCACCAAAAATATTAGTTTGATTTTTAGGATTTGTCTCTTTTGAAAATATTAGTTTGTGATAATGAGGAGTTACCAAATAATCAAACTCATAATGTTGTGTACAAGGAGGTTATAATAATATATGATTGTTACCGAACTTTTTATGATTCAACAATGTTCCTATGTACTTTAATGATTTCAATTTCGATCCTAATGCACGTGAGGTTATATTATTCTTCCAAATTTTACATCCCGTGCATCGTACGGGTTACGTACTAGTAGTTAAGAATGCCAACTGAAAAATCAAATAAACAATAAATACAATGCAAAATATACACACATATAATGTCGACACAATCATTATCGAACTTTTAGGATGTTTAGGATATCTTTTGGATCGTTGATCAATTTCAATAAATGTTTCGTATAGCGTTTTCTCGCATCACGCTGAGCATCTTATCTATATATATATATATATATATATAGATATATATTAAAGCGGAGCAGTTCTCAATTTTTCGCTCAAATTTACATTAATTATTATATTAATTGTAAGATAATTTACTTTCACGTTATTTTAGATATTGTCTAAACATGGAATGTGTATTATAGTTATTAATTAACGTATGTATTGATTGCAATTTTGGATAATGGCCTATGCTTATGAGAAAATAAGAAGGATAATCTGTCACATTGGAAATGTTAAATTGTAATTATACATTAAATTTTGTAGATAATTTGCACACTAAAAAGGCAAAGTAGCTGGAATTTTTTTTGTTTTCCCTCCCATTCTATATTAAATGTTACTCATTAATGGTTTGATCAATTCAATAAATATTGTCAAAAAATTTAAAGCCCTATTGGAATTGTGTATAATAAATATAATATTATTGGGAATTTGAATAAGTTGACAACTGTTTATAATGTTGTGCTAATTCTACACATCTCAATACAATTAGTAATTTATTAAACAAAAAAATAATAATAATTAATGTCAAATCTATATCTATATATTTTAAAAGGTTTGATTATTTTTTAAACAGTAACTATTTTCCTCCAAAAAAAGTGTATTTACTATTTTGAGAAATTAATTTAGCAATTTATGGTATATTTTAAATAATCAGTTATGAAAATTGCGGCTCATTATTTAAAGAAATAATTAAGCAATATAAAAATACATTTTTAAGATACCTTAACTATTCAAATTAATTTAACAATTTATGGTATATTTCAAATAGTCACTTATGGTAAATTCATTTTTAAGATACCTTAATTACTCAAATCATGTGAATTGGCTGATTTACCCAAATATGGGAATTTCGGCTGCAATATCAATTATGTGATTTGGTGTAAAAAATTTCAACCAAATTGTATAATTTATTATTTAATAAATATTTAATATTTTTAGTGTAAATCTTTTGTGAAATTTTTAATAAATATTATTGATTTTTTGTGTATTTAATTGCTCAATTCGTGAATAATTAAGGAAATAATTAGATCATAAAAATTTACATTTGTAAGATTAGACCATAAAAATTTATATTTGCACTGTACGGGTCGTGTACTAATTTTAAATAGATATGTTTTATATAATTTTGCACAATTTAAGTTTCATATAATATTTTCAACAAATTAATATAAGTAAATTGTATTATACATTGATTTCATATTCTAATTTAATAAATATTATTTAATGAGCATTTATAATTTATAAATATTAATGAACATTTCTTATCCGTGCATCGCACGGGATTCGTACTAGTACTAAATTACATAGCAACTATCTATCCATTTCGTGTTTAAGAGCTCATGAGGATATATAGTTTGAACATAGCCCGAAAACCTCATTTGATTTATAGCCAAAATTAAAAGTTTTATATTCAAATATGAAAGACAAAGTTGGATTTTACATTTAGCATACAATTTAGTTGAACTTTGTGGATATTAGAGTAATCCACCAAGTTATTAGATATCTAAATATGAACCCTTGAATATATTATTTAAATAAAATTTTTAAATATTATTTAAATATATAAATATAGAGTTTTATGGATTTAAATGTAGATTGATGTGTTATAATTTTTGGTGAATCAAAGTATCAGCCGATGATTCATAGTTATTTGTATATCAATTCGTGGTGTTTTAATGACTCAACTTATGGTTTTTTGGAGTAGTCCATTTAAATTTTATCTTATATCCATTTACTCTTAAGATTATAAAACATTTTGTCAACTCAAAATATGAACTTGTTTTAAAATTTTAATTTTTATAATTGTTATCAAAACTTCATGTATAATTAATTATTTTTTCTACTGTATTCGATTTAACGTTCATGTTCCATGTATAAAAACTATATATACATTGAGAAATAAAATTACATTCTTTTGTCATTGATAATGAAAAAATAACAAAATTATTTTTTCATTAAATAATTATATATTATGTGATATGAATAAAAATATTATAATATAGAAAGTTCGATCGTGATGATGAGTGTCCTTTGAAAAAAATATATATATAAATTTGAGTAAGTATTTAAAAAGTCGAGATAACAACTTATATTTTTTTCTTTTCAAGAAAATTCTCAAATACTGTAATAAAATATTGTAATAATGAATTCTAAATATGAAATATGTAGTTATGTACTACTATATATTTATTTATTTTTCTGAAAAGTATATATATATGTATATAGGGAAATGCCTACAGTGGACACATGTTAATATGTCCACCGCTTATGTGGCATGCACACATTGGTGATGTTAATATATTAAAAAAATACATCACGTGTGTGAATTCGGTGTGCATATTAACATGTGTCCACCATTTTCTCGTCGGGATATTGTTTATTTTTATTTTTAATTATTTTGTTATTTTATTTTCATTTTGCTATTCTTCTTTCATTTCTCACCGTCCATCGATCAGAGTCTTTAGGTAAGCCGTAAGCAATCTCTCACACTCGCTCACACACACGCCGAACGACTGTTAAAAGCTATTGAATCATTTTCTGGTTTTTCAATCCTCGCAGGTTCTACGGATCGAAAGCATTTGAAGTTAATTTATCGTTTTCTGGTACGAAGCTTATTTTTGTTTTCAGATTTGTTTTATTCGTATTGTATTATTGCTTGTTGGCATATTAGATTGTGATATTGTTGGATTTTGATGTTATTTATCCATTGTGATGTTGGATTTTGATGTTATTCATTCATATTATTGCTTGTAAGCTTGTTAGGTTGTGATGCTTTTTGATTTCCATTCATTATCATATTATTGCCTGTGAGATTTTTAAATTGTGATGTTGTTGGATTTTGATGTTATTCATTCATATCATATTATTGTTCGTGAGCTTATTATGATGTTCTGGATATTTTTGCTCTCGGTCTCTCTCTCGGAATGGCAGTAATACTATGGAATCGTTATTTTTCCTAGAATTGGTTGATGATCTCACTTCCGTACACGAAATTTTTGAAGATTTTGCTTATAAGAGTGTGTGTATGTGTGTGTGTGCGCGAGTGTGTATTTACGATTTTGTGCACACACCAAATATACGGGCTAAACTGCAAAAAAAAAATAAAAAATTATACGGGCTAAGTATTGATGGTGGAATTTCTCTTGTGATGGCTAAAACTGAAGGGTGCATTTCATTGATATTAAGTTTGTGAAGTATATGCAGTTAGCTATATGTCATATCTCAAAAGGTATACTTCCTGGTAAAACGGGTAAAGCACTTGACTATCTGAATAGAGGTAATGAAAGTTTTTTTTGTTAAGACTACATGATTTGGTTCATATGGAATGTTTATTATGTACCATTTTGCTGCATTTTCAGTAGTCTGAAAATGTACCTTGCGTGCTGGTGCCTTGCACGTTTTTTCCTTCATTTGTTCACATTGCTGATCTTTGGAGACTAATCACTTGATTGTATTACGACCTGTATGTTTCTTGATTGGAAGTTTGTGTCGATGTATGGATTGACCAACTTATTTGGTGTAGTTATTTTCTGCCATCAACCTGAACAAAATTTTGCTCTTATCTGATGCTTTTGATGAGTGTCTTTTGACTGAAAATAAATGGTATTATAAAGAGGAAGACCAGAGTAAAGAAACCCAGAAGAATTGAAAATTTTCGCAAATTGAGGACTGGTGACATGACACTTTTTTAAGGAAATATTTCAAGCATCAGAAAGAAAATTTTCGCAAATTGAGGACTGGTATTACTATTTTTAACACCATATTTCAAGCGGTTGATTTTTATCTAACTCAACAGAAAGAAAATGTATCCTTAGGCTGTTCCGTTGCATTTGTTAGAGTTGTGTTTGAGGTTATCATTACCCTAGCAATGTCTTTTATATGATTCCTTATTCCATCTATTTTGTTCTTTGACTTGCTTAGCATCATCTGTTGGGGGCCAAGAGATATTCTCAAAGGTGTAGTCATTGGAAATATAACTTATTTCTAAGTAACTTTGTGTTTATGCAAAATCTTCTATTTATATTGCTCGCCTAATGCCCACCATTTTAACAATTATGGAATTTGGAACATTGTCTGGAAAATTCTTCCCGTGACTCAAGTTTGGGGAAAGCATAATACATTAGTTAAACTAATTCCTGTAATAAAATCTTTAGAACTGATAAATTCATACACTTTTGTATCCTGAAACTTCAGAATTATTTGAATGTTCATCCATATATCCAAGTGTCAATCACCTCAGCCAAAGCATGTACTATTCTGAACATAAAATCCAATTTGTATAGTTAGGCTGCGAAATTTAAAATCTTATACCCAGTCTCACCCTTAAGATCTCATCCAAAGTATCCTATTTAGAAAATACTTCCTAGTATCCAGCTTAACTGCTTAAGTATGTGTGATATTTATGATTCTGATAGTGTAATCATGTCTCTGTGATGGGATTAGGCTTTATGTCATTCAGTCTTATTGTAATCTGCAAAAACAACAATTATCAACAAAAGAATCCAGGGAAGCTCACTCAGATTTCCTCTTATGTCATCTCCCATCATCAAATAGTTGACACCATCAGCTTTTGCATTTTCATATGGTTTCGCATTTCTTGAAATATTGGCATGGGCATGATTAAGTGCAGAGTTTTTTGTTGTCCAGAAATAAGATGGCTGGTTCACGGGTAGCCTTGTACCAGAAAATGAAAAATTGAGTTCAAATGCTTTCTTTTTTTTTTTTTTTTNTGTCCAAGAGTTCAAATGCTTTCGCTTATGTCACTTTAGCATCATCTGTCGGTGACCCAAATAGATATTCTGAAAGATGCAGTTCTTAGAAGTATAACTTATCTCTAAGGAACTTTGAGTTTATGCAAAATCTTCGATTTATATTGCTTGCATATTGATATCATTTTAAGAAGAAAAATATGGAATTCGGAACATAGTCTATAAAGTCTTCCTGTACGTGACTCAAGTTTGGGGAAAGCAAAAGTCATGTTAATCTCATTCCTGTAGTAAAATCTTTAGAACTATCATACACTTTTGTACCCTGCAATTTCAAAACTATTCGTATGTTAATCCATATATCCAAGTGTCAATCACCTCAGCCAAGGCATACATTATCCTGAACAGAAAATGTAATTAGTATCTTTTAAGATCTCATTTTAAAGAAATCTCATTTAGAAAACAGTCAAACACTTCCCAGTATCCAGCATAAGTATGTGATTTTTATGATTCTGATAGTGTAATTGTGTAGCTGAGATGGGATTCGGTTGTAATCTGTAAAAGCAAACGATTATCAACAGAAAACATCGAAATTCACTCAGATTTCCTCTTATGTCATCTCCACAACAGCTTCTATTAATTCGTTACATTCTCTTATTTTTGCATATCCATGATTTAAGTGTCGTTTGCTCTTTTTTTCCCCAGAAGTTGTAATGGCTGGTTCACGGGTTGCTCATGTAACTTTAAAAGGACCAAGTGTAGTGAAGGAGATACTGATTGGGATCGGACTTGGGATTGCTGCTGGTAGCGTGTGGAAAATGCACCACTGGAATGAACAGAGGAAAGTTAGGGAATTCTATGACTTGCTAGACAAAGGCGAAATCTCCGTGGTTGCTGCTGAGGAATGAATATTCCGAATAACTTTTCTATGACTATTTTGAGAAAATGGTGATTTAAATCCAAATTAGTTGGCTCTTGAACAGGACACGAGCTCTTTATGTTTCAGATTTATATTCCAAATAATTCTTTTGTGATTTACAAGGACCACATAGCTGCTGCTTGATTTGATATGCAGAAATGGAAGTGAGATTTTTGCTCCCATTGCTCTGTGGTTTGTGGATTTACTTTTTATGTTATGTGGGCTTAGTTTTGATGATATTGGGGAGTGACTGAGTTTGCTTACGAAATTGGAAGGATAACATGTAAATCGAATTTTCAGGTTGGCATTTTAGCTATTGAAAATTATTCCTACTATTTCCATGTTTTATTAATTATTATTATTATTATTATTATCATCATCATCATTATTAATAATTTTACGCTATTAGCTGTAAGATACTATGCACTACAGTGAAATAACGGACCTTGTACTTTGGTTGGAAGGAAATCTGAAAAGCATTGCTTGTAGGAAAGGAATGAGCTAGTTGAGAAATATGTTTGAATGAAAATAACCTGTAGAAATAAAATGAAGTACCGAATAAGATTTGCAATCAATTTAATTTAAAACCCAAATAAGCAAATCATTTTTCAAAAAAATTAATTACAAATCTTAAATTCATCCAAGGAGTTTCCTGTAATTGTGCTCTTTTTTTTCATTGCTACTGTTCCCTTTTCCTTTTTATTTATTTCTCTGGCTTGTCAACAAAGAAACACTCTCTCCACTCAAATCCCTAAATTCAACTAATAAAGTTTAAGACTGAGAAAGAGAGCAATAGAGTACAGAGAAACCAGCTGCAGAAAATCGGGTGAAGGAAAAAAATGAGCAGCATAGGCACCGGCTATGATCTATCGGTGACCACATTCTCGCCGGACGGCCGCGTTTTCCAGATCGAATACGCGGCGAAAGCCGTCGACAACAGCGGCACCGTGGTCGGCATCAAATGCAAGGACGGGGTTGTTATGGTACGCCGGCCAGAATTTTCTAATTCGACGTTTTTCTTTTTTCTATTAGGGTTTTAAATAGGATTTTTTATTTTGCTCATCGTGTTGATTGTAGGGAGTGGAAAAGCTGATTGCTTCGAAGATGATGCTGCCCGGTTCCAACAGACGAATCCACTCCGTCCATCGGCACTCTGGAATGGTATCATCTCTTTCCTCGTCCCTATCTCGCTTTTTGTGGGGAAAAAATATTGTTTTTTTTTTTTTGTGTGCGTGGAAGATTTGTTATGGAAATGTTATGTGTCTAGAGTTCAGTTATTGATCTTCGAAGAATGGATTTAGTTTTTCATTGTTGTCAATCACGATGCCTGAATGCTGTTTCCGGTTACGTGAAGCTGATGCTGGTTAATTTTCGTAAAGGATGCATTGTTTGGTGTTCTAAAATGAAGGTGGGAAATTTTGTGATGATTTTTAGTGTCAGTGCGAAGGACTGGCTGAATGGGTGCCTGAATTAAGCTGCCTAGATTTACTTCATGGTTGAAAAATCATGGGTAGGGCTTGAAAAGTGCTTGCCCTCGTGACTATTTTTGTCCTGAAATAAAATTATTTGTTGGTCTTGATAAAGCATGGTTTTCATAGTTCGATATGGCTGATATGAATCTTTGCAAGTTTTAATGAATCCGATCTTGTAGGGAGGTAATTTAGTGGAATTGTATTTGGACTTCTTCTTCATTTTGTTTTTTTCCCATTAGAAGATTGGGAAGCAGTATAAACCATGAAGATGAGGTGAGGAATTTTGTGCTCCAGAAAGAACCCGATGCTCTGTAGAAGGTATTAGGAAAGATCAAAGTCTTGTTGAAATTACAGATATAGTTATCAGATGGCAAGCTAGCCATTTCACTTTATTAATGTTTCCTGGCGTGTTTGTTATTAGAAAACTAAGTGAAAGTTTCTCATTCCCACCTGGAAGTATATCCGTTTGTTTATAAATGGCTTGACAAGACTACAAAACCTTATGCCTGCCCTCTTGTCTTTGGTGAAAGAAATTCATTTCAACATTTTTTGAGCTTTTTAGAGAGAAAACTAAAATTGTAAATAGTTTTCTTTAGAATAATTCAGTCTTTACCTTATGATTTCCTCTGAGAATGTAAAATAATGAAATGGACTGAGTCTTGTAAGAATGAACTGAAGTGCTTACTGTTCAGGAAGTAGTATTAGTCAAGGTCAGAGTAGAAGGAGGCTCATTTTTAAGTCTTGTATCGAGATAAAGAGATTGAAATAAGTTGGTAGTACCAACGAAGGGATATATTTAGTAAGTTCACTCAATAAACATGCATAGCAACAGGATGGAGTTGATCAAATTCTGAGCAACGCTGTAATGATGGTCTTTTTTTTATATATATATATATATATATTCCCTGAATATAAAAGTTGTACCTCCTAAAGGACTCTGGGAAAGGCTTTATTGTGATTCACGGCTGATGTCCTTCCTATCGCAGGCTGTTGCTGGACTAGCTGCAGATGGCAGGCAAATTGTTGCAAGAGCAAAATCTGAAGCAACTAATTACGAGAGGTTTCATTTTGATTATTGTCTTTTTCCTCCTTTTCACCAGTTGTTAACCCATTTTGGTGTTTTCTTTATAGTCTGATTGTTTGCTTGCTGAGGGTAATTATTTTGGGATTGTTTTCTTTAATCTGTTGTTGTCATTCTAATATGCAGTGTGTATGGTGAGCCAATTCCTGTACAAGAACTTGCGCAACGTGTGGCTAGTTACGTGCACTTGTGCACACTCTATTGGTGGCTCAGGTTTGATTTAGAACATAGTTATCCATCTATTTATTTGCTTACTTTTTGTTCTATCTCCATATGAAACAAATTTAAATACTGCAGGCCTTTCGGATGTGGGGTGATTTTGGGAGGGTATGATAGAGATGGACCTCAGTTGTACATGGTTGAACCATCTGGGATTTCCTACGTGAGTTTTTTTTTTCTTTTTTTTTGGGCACTAAATAAACATGGTGACTATATAATATTTCAATATAGCATTACTTTTGGGTTACCCTTCCCCTCTGGAGGTGTAACCTGTTTATTTCCACCTCAATCCTCATACAATCATCAATTCATCATCTCTCTTTATTATTATTTTTTTTCCTCTGACGTTTTTTGTTTTTGCACTCTTTGCTGCAGAGGTACTTTGGTGCTGCCATTGGGAAGGGAAGGCAGGCTGCTAAAACGTAAGTTATATATTTGCTTCTACTCTCCTCAGGTTATAAACTTACAAAGCATAAATAGACTTTGGGAAAATGAAGCCGAAAAGAATGATTTTCTTTAATAGCAGGGTTATTACAGGCTGCTAAAATGTGAGGAATATGTTTGCTTCTACTCACCTCAGGATATAGACTTACAAAGCATAAACGGAGTTGAGAAAAAAGCAGAAAAGAAAGAAAAAATAAATAAATACAAGGGAAGCATAATATCTGTACAGCACCCTAGTATTTTTAACAATATTTTTCATTTTTTTTGAGTAAGCTCTTAGGTTATGTGAAATTTTAAGATAATGATTTCCTGTAAAGGTGCAGGGATTTGGATTCTCTGATTATAATATTTATTTATTCTTATTATGGTTTTTAGCAATAGCTTTGATTCAACCAATTGTGCTAATAAAATTTGTTTTGACAGAGAGATTGAAAAATTAAATCTTTCTGAGATGACTTGCCGACAAGGGGTTATTGAGGTGGCAAAAATGTGAGTCCCCTTTCTATATTTTGCACCGCTACCAATTACTTGGATATGTGTATTGTATTAAATCGCAACACATTCATGGTTATCAAAATCTCTGTTAAACATATCAAACGCCTCCCAGATTAACATAATCTACGTTGAATATCAAACATTTGTCAAATATTTGTGCAGTATTTACGGTGTGCATGATGAGGCGAAGGACAAGGCATTTGAACTAGAAATGAGTTGGGTTTGTGACGAGTCCAACCGTCAGCATCAAAAGGTGAATTTAACAATTTGCGTATATGTATTCCATGTATTTCTTGCAGGTAGCAGCTAGTTATGTACATTCTCTCAATATTTTGTCATAAATTGACGATTTTACCCACCTCCATTCGCGACACACCAGGTCCCAGATGATCTATTAGAGGAAGCTAAGACAGCCGCTAAAGCTGCACTTGAAGAAATGGATGCAGATTAATCAGATGTGACATTTGTTCTCTCTTGTGTAACATTTTTCTCGACTATGGTCCTGCTCAACTCTCGATTTTCTATGGGTGGAACACAGTATGATCGATTCAGATTCGTTGTTGCATGTAAAAACCTTATTCCAGCTATAAAACCATCTCAAGAAATCTGTGTTAGACGACCTTAATTTAGTGTCCCAATTTTCAATTTATGTTGTCACAACACGTTTTCTCTGAATAAGTCCTAAATTTACTCTGCAACATCTTTCAATTCATACAAAATATGGTATTATTGATCTGAGCAACTAATGTAACGAAGACCATCTCATCAAATGGAAATAAACTACACAAACATTTCACATATGAAACAACTTAACCGTATCTTTACACGATTTAGTAGACCCAAAGTACATATGAGGCAACTCTTTACAAACCAAAAGGCAAAATCAATTTCTCCATATTTCCCATGTACCAAAACGACAAAATCAGTTTCACCTCAAATCTCAATCGCCGGCTCCNGACTATCCACATAATCTGCAAACGCTTTCAGCACAGCCGATATCTCACCCAGCTTCTGCTGGATCAACCTCCTCGACCACGAACTCTCCCTCCACATCAACGCCCCCTCCACCGAGTCCAACACCGGCAAATCCCCACCAGACAAAAAATACAGCGTATACACAAGACTCTCAGCATCCGAAGCCGAACACAATTTCCCTTCTTGAAGTGCAGAAGTAGACGAAAAATGCAGATTCATCGCCGGCCTGTCCCTATCTTCCAATATCGCATGGCCCCACCCAATCACAACATAATACGAAACACTAAATCTCTTCACGCGTATGATATTTTCGGGCCTTATGTCCCCGTGTCGAACCCCAGCCGAGCCACTAGCCGACAGAGCGGATAAACAGTCATGGCAGCATTTTATAGCCTCGTTCGGGCCAAACTCGCCTGCTTTGACCAGGTCAACCACCGTTGGGCCCACCGGAGCAGTCACCAGTATAGGGGTCCCACACCAAGGGTGTTCGCAGTTAATATTACGGGCCGAGCTCGATTTACGGCACGGGCCCGAATGAAGGGCCCGGCCCGAAGCAATTATCCGGGGAAGGTATTTGCTCGACACGCCTCTCTGTCTCATCACACCGAGCACTTTGGTCTGCCTCTGGACTTGGTACCAAAGCTTCATATCCTCCCACGCGGGCTCCATCTGCGAAGGGTGGGGCCCGGCATACAGGAACAGATCTTCTTCTTCGCCGGGTTTGTCGACGCGGGACGCGATGTAGTACGCAAACTCGCCGTCGTTCATGACCTCGTCCACCCTATAACCGTTTCGCGAGTTGGAATCTTCTAGAAGCACGATGTCGCCGACTTCTAGAAGCTTGGCCGGCTTTTGAGAATAGTCCGCTTTGACGGATTCCTCGTTTAGTTCTACGATTTCCGGGGAAGCCGTACGGTGTTGGGACATAAATAAGCTATTGTTACCGTTCGGCTTTGTATTATCGAGATTATCGGTAGTGTTGGTGTTATCTGCTAATAACTGTCTCTCGATTTTCCTTGCCTGCAGGCGGCAAATGTGGTCGGCGGCTAAATCTTCGATTGCGTTCCTAGGCATACCGGTAAATTGTGCTATGGAGTGATAAGTAGCGTAAAGCGCCTGTAAAGCACCAACATCTCCCCAGTTTGCATTCCCGAGATTGTTCCAAATCCTCTCGACTGGAGAAATAGAAACGCGCGAGTGATTCTTAAACCAAGAAGCAGCGGATTCGTAAATATTACTGTTGAGATCGAAATCCATCTTATTCAGGTCGCCTTCGACTCTCACGACACTCCCGTGCTGCGAATCCACCACAAGGACAAAAACGTAATTTGAACTTGCAGGAACAACACTCGATCTGCTCACGCTCCTCGCGATCAGCACACGGAGGGCGAAAAAAAGAGCTTCACCAATGAGAGAGAAAGATGGGTAAGAATCGTGATCAAGACTCGTGATCTCAGGCCTCAAAAGTGCCAGCTCAACTACATCGTCCCACTTTCCCTGCGGATGTCTCGGATTTTTCAGCATTATGGCCGAGGCACATAACCTTCCGGTTTTACCCCTGGCGATGACCTTCTCAGCCTGGTAGAACTTCAAATTCCGGTCATACAAAGATGAGATGTAGAAAGGCATTGGGTCGTTAACTTCATCTCCCCAGAAGGACTCCCACAGGCTACTGGCGCTTGCGTGCATGAAATCTTCTAAGGCTAGAAAGGCATTTCCCTCCAAAGCACCAGATGTCGGCTCATAAACGGCGCTCGGCATTCGGACCAGCTGTTGGAACTGAACGCCTTCGACCGCATAGTCAAATTTCTGAAGATCGATCCTCTCAAAAGGAGGGTCGAAGGCTGGGGCTGCTGCCCTGTGTTCGGCTAAATCCTTGAGCCAGTTCGTGAGGGCTTCTCTTAGGTTTTCGCAGTCTATGAATCTGAGGAGGAACTCCTTCCTGTCGTGGGCCCTACCGCCGGAGGAAGATGTTTTGGCCGCAGATTCCACGGAATCTCTATCTGAGAGTAAGCCTAAAAGTTTACGAATTTTAAGAAAAAGTGGATCGTCCATTACTGAGAGAAAAATATGCAAGAAAAGAGCGTAACTCGAAAAATTTTAATAATTTTCGCTACATGGTGTAATGGCATCATGTAATTAAGGTTGCCATATTGTCATACATTTTTCACCAAAACCACCATATCGACAACAAATGCGTGAAAATTAAAATCATACTGAAAATGAAGAACGAAATCTGCTGTATAAGACCGATCTCAATGGGTCAGCTATTTCGTAGGACTTTTGCAACTATAAAACTGCGGGTTTAAATCCTACCAAAAGCGCAGGCATCTGGTTGATTCCCGATTAGCTTATTTGCACTTAAAGCAGGTACAGGTACATAATATTTTGTCACCAGTTGATAATACAGCATAAGGAAGTATGAGATAATTTACCCCAATTGAAATATCTTATGATACTCGATATTAAATCAAACAATCTTAAAGAGATTTGGTGGGTTGAACTGTTTTGCTGGGTGAATCGTGAAAAGATGTCATATGACCGATAGTTGGCAAACGACTGGCCCAATATTATTAGCTCGACTAAAAGAAATCAGGAGACCAAACCAAATATCAAACTACTAAAACCACAGAGTGGAGTCCACTATCGCTATGGATAACAGTCAACCAAAAAAAAAAGGTTTTTTCCAATATTAATCCTGCTCAGAATGGTGGAACATGGAAACTGAATAAGGCTAATTTGGAATATAATTATCGTGTTTATGGTAAAATCATAATTTCTCTTCTTCCTATAGTAAATTTACAAGATATTTGATATAGTGTAATCAAAGCAAAACAGTCTTACATAAAACAAGAGAAAAATTGAAGATTATAAGATGTATTGCATGTATCACGTGTATAGAGCAAATTTTAATTTGCCAATGAGGTCACATAATTGTGTTGAGAGATTTGGAGAGCATTCAATTAATGTGCTTTTCACTAATAAGGAGCAAACTTAAGATCATACCAAGACTAGTTCTATATACTAAAAAGTTAACGAATATCCAATTATAAAATGATGGGCAAGTTTGAAAGAAAATTAAATAAAGCTCCATGCTTAAGATGATATAACTCAATCACACCATTCAGCAAGACAAACCACAAAAAACGAGCCCGGCACACTCGATCGCAAAAAGCTCACGCCTTTTTATGCAACAAAACAGGTACTTACAAAATATTACCAATGTTCATATGACCCATCAGTCAATGTAATCTCCAAAGAATTCCATCAGCTCTCAACTCCAAGTCACCCCTTTTCAAACAGATGCCGATGATTTCAAACAATCACAACCACCAAATGAACATGTATAATTATTCAATTCACAATTCACCTCTGGAAAATTGACCGGAGTCAATTCAAAAAAACGAGATAGTATGAAGCTCAGGACCAAAAGTTCCCCCAAAAAATGAAAAAGGAAAATTGAGCTAACTCCGATCGCCACAACCATGAAATGACACAAAACTACAGCGATTCGCGCAACTCTACTGAAAAAACAGTTCTCGGTAACAATTCACCAGAATTCTATTCATAGTTCAATCAATCCAATCAATTTCAGTTAATCCAAGCAATTCAAACAAGAAGCAGAAGCAAAAGCAAAAACAAAAGCGAATCGACATTAGGGCTGGTAGAGAAAGTAACTAATGACAAAGAACAAGGAAATTGAAGTTAAACTTACCTTCCATGGCAGATGGGAATTACAGGGACAACAGGGTTTTCAACAAAGCTTTCCTCCAAATATCCCTGACGTCAGTAAGCACACAGGTCCTACCGATTCTTTCTCATCTCTCTGAGGCTCTCCCTACATACACAGTTTTTCTCTCTCTATACATATAAGTCTGAGTGCAGAGAAAAAAGAAAAAAGGAAAAGAAAAGGCGTTAGTTGGGCAGAGGCGTGAAAATACTTTATTTATGTTCCTTTTGTCTGTCAAATATTTTATTTCTGTTTATAATACTAAATAAATAAATAAGTAATAACATTTGTTGATAAATTAAATTGCACTTGTCCACTCTACTAGTATGTACCCGTGCGATGTACGGGACAATGATATTAAATGAGTTATTTTTATAGGTTCTGTTCGTTTATAAGTTTAAAAAGCAATAAAATTATCATATATTTTCTACCCATTTAATCAGCATTAAGTCTAAAACCAATAGAGTTATAATCTACTTTTCAGTTTTAATTAACGTTGTATTTTTTAGCCAAAACATTAAATAAGAGCATGTTAGGGCTAATTTATAAAATAATTAATATATTATCTCACTAACACATTTATACTAATATAAATTTGATTCTAGTATATATATTTATTCCTTGATATAAGCTAAAATAATAGTTTTACTTATTCTTGTTCATCATATAATACTTAATTGTTATTATATAATAAACTTTGGTGTCTTATAATATCATTATTATTTATAAAAGTTATAAATGTTGTACGTCTTCTTTTTTTTTTTATTTTATGTAACGAAAATATTTAATGCACGTTAGTATTATTTATTTATGTAATCAATTTACAATATTTAAATAAATTTAAAATTAATAATTTATAATTTATTTAGCATACTCTGCAATTAAAATATATTTTAGAATAATTTCATTATAAAAACAAATAAAAATAGAAAATGATAAAAAAAATCATGGTTGCCAATAATATACAAATAAATTCTAAAGAATAATTAATATATTTTAACTTTAATTTTTTACTATTAGTAAAACTATTTAATGTATATGGTCATGATCTCTTAAATGGTAAATTATATTAATTTGAAGAATAACTTATTTTTTATATATAACGAAATAAATCATAAGAAACAATATAATTGACAAAAATTAATTCACCAACTTGATTTCAATTGATTAATTGAAAAAAAAAAATTCTACCTAACCTGTTACGATTTTTTATAAATATTTTTGGATAAAAAGTGAATATTTGTGAAAAA